AAGCTCGAGTATTCTAGGACCTTTATCTATCTTATTTTCATGTTTTAGACTAATTCATATTATTGCCCTTTTCAGGTACTTATCCCCAAAATAAGTCAATTCAGCCAAATTAGAGCATAAAAGAAGTAATCGTAAGCTTAATGGAAGAATGGAGCAAAGTGGTGGAAAACAGCAAGCTTCGATCGATCAGACATATTTTCGATCGATCTCACATTGATCGATCTAGCCCTGCCAAGATGGATCAAACCCCTTGTCCTTATCCTCAAGAATTTCCATCTTCGATCGATCCAACTTTCTTCAGATCGATCGAACTTCCTTGATCTTATCCCCACCTACCACTTTTGTCTTTTTCCCAAAATATCCCAAAAATATCTTAGATTTGTCTTATTCCAAAAAGGCGCCTCTAAGGATTGATCGATCTACCCTTAGTTCGATTGATCTGGCCAGAGTTTGATCAATCTCATCTGAATTCAATCGATCAAACCTCCTCAAGTTTGAAATAAAACAGAGTCCAGCTTATCAAAAGATGGCTCGTAGTGCAATCATTGAGAGGACCCTAGTGCACGAGACCTGATCATTGGGTGTGACACTTGAGCTACCTATATAAGGATTTTGAGCCATTTTTACATATATCTCATATCATATCATAGATATCATATATTATCTTGGAGAGGAGGCTAAAGATTAGAGTGACATACACTATTTTGGAGTTCTTCCATTCTTTTAGGGTTTCCATCAAGAAGAAGATCAATCCTACCATGGAGATGGCTCTTGAGGGTTGGATGACTATATCAATGAGTGGCTAAACATCTTCTTGGGGCTAGAGTAAGCCCTAAGCATGCCTTCTAGAGCTTGATGTTTTGTATTCTAAGGGTATTTGTGTTGTAATCTTGTCTTGACATTTGATTTATATATGAATCTTCTTTCTACAATGATTTGTGTTGTCTAATACTTTCAATTGATCATTTCATTCAATTCATATGTCTATGTATGCTAAAATAGATGTTCATGTGTTTATCTCTTGCTTTTATGATATTGATGCATGTCTATGTGTGTTGATGCTATGAATCTAGAGATTGTCAAGACATAGTGCTTAAATAGAATACTCTTGTGGTTTGTTTGATGGTTCATACTCATTTCTTGATGGATTGTGCCTCCACCTTAGTTTAGTTAGTTTAATTTTCATGCCTCTAGCTTAGTTGTAGTGTAGTTGCCTTATTTTCTTAGATGTAAGGACAATCCATGCTTGTTGTTTGATGTTCCATACTTATGAATGCAAGTAGTATAATTCTCTAACTTGTTAGTGTGTTAATTGTGAACTTAAAGGAATGAATAATGACTTAGTTTGATATATTGTTTAATTCACTAGATTGTTTAGACAAGGTATACTTAATTAGTCAATTCATGCTTGTTGATTCAATCAATCACACCTCTTTGTATTGCAACATATATTTTTCCTCATTCATTACACATTGAGTATCTAAAATGGTGATGTTTAGTGATGACCTCTAGATCCCAAGACCTCTCTCTCTTATTTTCTACCCTTTATTTATGTTAATTGCTTTGTATTGAATTTATTTACATTGTAGTTTAATTAACCAATCAAAACACCTTTTGATCACTCGACCAACTAATCTAACCTTGTTTCCATATTAACGTAACCCCCAATCCCTTGGGACAATCCTTACTCACCCTAGCTATATTAATAGTTAGAGGTAGTAGTGGCACTTTATAAATTTAAACTTGGCCACACTTTCATTACAATTTGGGGTGTTAGGACACAACCACACCATGATATTTTTTTTTTTTTAAATTACGTATCTATTCTATATGATCTTTATTTTTTCAAGTTTTAAAACTTGTGGGGGATTGTTAGAGTTATAAGAGAAGTTTTAAAGCTTCCAACTCTAGAATTTCTATTGGTTGGAAATTCAAAAGTCCTTAACTAATTAACTGCAGATGATAATAATTAAATTGAAGGAAATTAAATTAAATGTTGTAACTGTTAATAACGTTAACAGTAATTTAACCAAACGACACATCTAGGTTTATACCTGTTGATGAAAAGACGTGATAAATTCTATTAATATGTAGGTTTTGATTAGTGGAGAAATTAATAGAACAAGTTATCTTCTACTCTTAGAAAAACTATTGTAATTATATTCTCTCTGTAATCATATAGTCTACTCTTACTATATATATATATATATATATATATATATATATATATATATATATAATCTATTTCTCTGGCGAAACGTGACATCAAAACTTGGTGAAAGCTTCTCTGTGATCGTGCGCATAGGGAACGATTGTAGTTGTATCTTGGAGTCTTTGGTGGATCGTAATTACCTGCGCGTAAGGGAGACTTCAAAGGCTTTAGGATAGCGCATTTCATGCCTCTCCATCTAACAAGCCAGAACTATCTTTCTCTGTTTTGATCTGTTTTCTGTTATGATACAATTATATTTGTTGTTTAATTATTTTTAAGTATTAATTGTTTTATTATAATTACTCTCTTATTTTGAAAACACCATTTCCATTCCATAAATAGAAGTATTTTACAATCTAAAAATTAATATCCCTAACACATACTTCTATCAATTAATTAACATACTTGCCTTCAAAAGAAAAACATATCATCATAATCATCCACGAAATCTCAAGATATCGACTTGTACACATAGCATGCTCTTTAACAAATTTAGTATTTCAAATATACACCCAACAACATCAATAACATAATTTCTTCACTAAGCACATAAATATCATTTCAATTTCCAAAATCATCATTTTGAACATATTTAGCATGAAATCAAAACAAGAAAACTCAAAAGAAGTCAAAACATAATGAGTTAGACATCCCTAACTTAACAAAGCAACTCCAAGCTCCTAGATCCCGAACTCGAATCTCACCAAATGCATGCAAGACCGGTACCAAAACATAGGCCTTGAAAAGCTCTACAACCTTGCTAACTACGGCTTGGGTCAAATCCTTCTCTAAGATATGGACATCTAGAGAGAAGGGAGAGGATTATAGAGAGGAAAAGAAGTGAAGAGAGAGAGAGGGAGTGTGTGGCCAAAAGAGGAGGAGAGAATGAGTGACCCAAAATGAAGCCAAGTCATTGGCTTCTAACACCTTCCAAGTCAAAAGTCAAAAGAACCCCACATTACCAATAATGCCCTTCAATGATCATCATAACTACCATTATGCCCCAAAATATCTCCTCTTCACATAACCACACCAAAAACCACATAACAACTATATATATCTTAAATAATTAACTAGTAAATGAAATAAAATAGAAAAGAATATCGGGACCCACATGGCATGCAAACCAATGTGCAAAAAATAATTAAAAAAATAAAGTTTCATAAAAATCACGAAATGTTACAAAGCTGTACTCATTGTTGTCTATACGATTAATCGAGTTCCATATCATGTGATTAATAACCAGTCACCCTATGAATGTTTATATGGTATCCTTCAAGTTTTTGAATATGTTTGTTTTGTCTTACTTCAGCCTCACTTGGGCTCATATTCATATTTTTTTAGGTTACGAGATTAAACACAAAAGATACAGGTGGTGGGATCCTTATTCCAAACGTCTTCTCATATCTTGTCATGTCATCTTTTGGGAAGACAAAATGTTTTTCTCCATGTCAAAATTTCATCTACCATCTAACTCTCATACCTCTTTATTCACAAATACTTCTGTTGGACAATTTCCTACTGACTTTGCTAGAGGATCTTCCTGCAAGCTCACCAGTATGGTCTCTCCAGAGTTGTCTGCTCAAGTTGATGGTCCTGCTCTTGATTCATTTGGATTCTCTCATCTAGAGACTCATTCATCGTTCTTTTTTCTTGATGTTGATACTACTGATACTATCATTTGTCATTCTACTCAAGCAAGAGCACCACTTACTCATCTTCGTGATTTTCACTACTTTTCTACCATTCTTTCTCACCATAAGCCTCGATCTTATTGTGAGGCTAGCTCTACCCCTCTTCGGCAGCAAGCAATGGTAGAAGAGTTACATGCATTGGATAAAACTCACACATGGGATTTGGTTAATATCCCTTTTGGTAAATTTACTTTAGTGGTGCAGCGTAGTCGTAAAAAGTTGTTGTCCGGCAACTGTAGTAGTGCAAAACCATGAAGGAAAGGGATTTCTAGCAATAAACAAGCAAAAAATGGAGACGTAAGCAACATAATTGAATTTGGAACGTAAATGGGAGAGTTCTAGGGCAAAAAAACATGAGAGAAACTCTAAATCTGATTTTCTAGAATAAAAAAACTGCATACAAAGTCTCTTTATAGACTATTTATACTAAGGTTATAGTAGCCCTAACATCCTAGCCCTTGATTACTTCAATAAGTAATAAATCCTAACCCTCCAAAATATATTAAAAAAAAAAAAAAAAAACTTGCATGACTGTCACATGACTATTAAAAAAAGACTTAGATTATAACAATCATCTATCAATTAACATAAAACCTAAAAAATTCAAATAAGACACATAGAAAATAAGTAAATAACTAAAACCCTGAGATAACTAGAACCTAAGCCTAGTTGGCTAGCGGGCCCAATTAGTCTTTGAGAGCCTTGTAGATGCTCCTACATTAACTCCACCCGGTTGGGAAAAATTCAAGTTTGACGAGAAAGCCTGCACAACTTTAGCATATATCTCTGGATCAATTCTTTCAGCAATTCTTCATAAATCCAAGTACTATCACTATAAGGTTTACTTAACCATTTCACTAGAAATTGCCTATACCGGTTACTCCTTAATTTCACCTCTTTAAATCTAATAGATCTTTGACAACATCCGGATGCACTTTTGGAAGGCACTTAAGTTGTGCCTCTGGTGAAACCGATTCACCATCAAATCCTTCAAACAAATACAGATCAAATGCATTGAAGATTGGGCTTATTTGGAGGTTAAGTGGCAGCTCTATCAGGAACGCATTGGAGCTAATTTTCTTCAGCACTTTGCATTACCCAAACTTCTTTGACTTTAGTTTATGGTAAGTGACTTTTGGGGATTTTTCCAGCTTCAAATGCACCACAACCATGTCACCCTCTTTAAAATCTTTGACTTTCCTGGCTGTTGTTACATAGGATTCATTACTAGCCTTTATCGCTGTCCTTAGTTCTTCATACCCTCCTTTAATATGATCTGCAAATGCCTCTCCATCATCACTCACTTTTACCTCTTGTGGTAGTGGAACTAGATCAAGAACATGTTGAGGTTTTAGTCCATAAGCAGCTTCAAAAGGTGTCTTCTTTGTAGATCTATTCACGGAATTATTGTATGCAAATTAAACTTGTAAACCATCGGCTGAAACAATAAAGCCTAGAAACACAACTTTATTGCACAGAAAATAGCACTTTTCATACAACTTCTCCTTACGGAGAAACTCCATGACTTGGTCTAAATGGACTAAAGGCTCTTTACTTGTATAACTATATATTAATATATCATCAAAATAAATAACCACAAATGAGCTTAAGAAAGGTTTAAGTACCTTTTATTATAATTCGCATAAATGTGCTAGGAGCATTAGATAGTCCAAATGGCATCACTAACCACTCGTAAAGTCCATTTGGAGTTTTGAAGGCTCTCTTCCTTTCATCACCACTGCTTATACGAATATGATGATACCCACTTCTCAAGTCTATTTTGGAGAACACCTTGGACCCCACTAACATATCAAGTATGTCCTCTAATCGAGGGATAGGAAACCCGTATTTTATTATAACGTTGTTGATGGCACGACTGTCCACACATATCATCCATGATCCATCTTTTTTTGGTGTTAGCAATGCTAGAACAACGCATGGACTCTTGCTCTCATGCACAAAACCCTTAACAATCAAGTTTTCCATTTGCCTTTAAATTTCAGCTTGCTGTATGGGTAGAATTCTATAAGCAAGAAGGTTTGGTAAAACTGCATCCGGCACAAAGTCAAAAGCATGTTGAATACTCTTCATTAGTGGCAAACCTATTGTGGTTTGTGGAGTCTTATTAATTTTTTGGAATGTTTAATTATATAGAAACTTCAACACTGCTGAATTTTAAGGAAAATTCAGTTTCCTGATCTGTTTTAACTTCCTTATTGGTTTAGGAAAAATTCAGTTTCCTAATCTGATTTAACTTCCTTATTGGTTTTGGATTCTACAAAAGGCAAGTTCTTATAGGACAAGTTTGGGGACTCTGTAAATATCAACTCTAATCAGATTTTAAAGTGTGTGAGAGTTAGAGATAAATTTGTGCCAATACAAGAGAGAGCAACTGAGAGAGATTGGGAGATAATTGTCCATTATAATTCTTCATCTTCTTCATAGTGAATTTGTTCAGTGTGCTCCATAGACATGGCCCTAAGATTTGAGTGAACCATGTATATCTTGTGTTCTTGTGTGTGATTTTTTTTTTTTTATTCTTTGTGATTGCTTGTTTATTCCTTGAATAGTGTTGTTTATTTTGCGTTTCCGCCACAACAACTGGTATCAAATCCGGTTGATTGTGCAGAGCAACTCTAACAACTGGTATTAGAGCCTTTGGTTGAAAACCTAAGGCATAGAAGGTGTTTGACGAAATTCTGAAAGTTTTTCGATCAGATATGTCCATTTGAGTGGGAGTAATGGCATCAGAAGATAAGACATCCATATCTATGATCGAGATGTTCGGTGGCGCAAACTTTGATCTCTGGAAGATACAAATTGAAGACCTTTTGTTTCAAAAAAATCTGTATCAACCTTTAGGAGAAAAGCCAGGGGAAACAAAGAATACAGAATGGGAATTACTTGATAGGAAGGCTCTTGGCACCGTCAGATTGACGTTGTCAAAATCAGTTGCCTTTCATATCAAGAACGAGAAGATAATGAAGTCTCTTATGGCAGTCCTTTCTAGTATGTATGAACAGCCTTCTGTAGCGAACAAGGTGCACTTAATTAAGAAGTTGTTCAATATGAAGATAGTCGAAGGTGGTAAGTTCATCGAACATCTAAATGTGTTCAACGAGACAGTTGGGCAATTAGAGTTTGTTAATATCGACTTCAAAAACGAGGTCCGAGCACTGCTAATTCTAGGGCAGTTACCAGAGAGTTGGAGTGGCACAGTTACAGCGATCAGTAGCTTTGCAGGGAAGACCAAGTTGAAGTTTGATGAAGTTGTGAGCATGATTCTGACTGAAGAAATCATAAAGCAAACAGTAGGGGTTTCCACCAGTGGTTCGGCATGAAATTTTGAAAGCTGAGGCAAGGGTTCAAATAAGAAAAAAGGCAAACGGTAATAGAAACAAAGGTAAATCCAAGTCAAGGAATAAAAGGACACAGTCTCAAAATTTTACGAATTCCACAGATCTCAGTGATGTTGAGTGTTGGAATTGTGGAAAGAAAGGACATTACCGTGTTGATTGTAGACTTCCAAAGAAGGGAACTGAAGAAAAACTTAAGCAAATGTTGTCTCAGAAGAATCAGATGATACATTGATATGCTCTTTGGAGAGTAAGACGGAGTCATGGGTTTTAGATTCCGGCGCATCGTTTTATGGCACCTCAAGCAAAAAGCTATTTAATAGCTATAAACTGGGTAACCTTGACAAGGTGTATCTTGGTAATGATCAGCTTTGAAGCGTCGTCGGCAAGGGTGAAGTGCAAATCAAGTTGAATAGGTCAGCTTGGAAGTTAAAGGATGTGAGACACATCCCTGACTTGAGGAAGAATATGATTTTGGTGGGACAATTTTCAGATGAAGGTTTTGTTACAACTTTCAATGAAGACTCGTGGAAAGTTTCCAGGGGTGCTATGACCATTGCACGTGGTAAAAAATATGGTACTCTCTACACAACTACCAGTGCTTGTGGGTCTATAGCAATTGCAGAAAACAGAAAAGATCACAACCTTTGGCACCAGAGACTAGGTCATATGAGTGAAAGGGGGCTCAAGATTATGCCCTCAAAGGGGAAACTACCAGGTATACGGGCAATTGATATTGACTTCTGTGAGAGTTGCGTGATGGGCAAACAGAAGAGGGTCAGTTTCAAGAAGAGTGGTAGAGATCTCAGAAAGGAGAAACTTGAGCTAGTTCACACAAACGTTTGGGGCCAGCCACTATCTCATCCATTGGCGAAAAATCCTACTTCATGACTTTCATTGATGATTACATGAGGAAGGTATGGGTTTATTTTTTGAAGCACAAATTTTAGGTATTTGATGTGTTCAAGAAGTGGAAGGCTATGGTGGAAAATGAGACAGGTTTGAAGATCAAGAGGTTGAGGTCAGACAATGGTGGTGAGTATGAAGACACTGGATTCAAGAAGTTCTATTTTGATAATAGGATTAGATTAGAGAGGACTGTGCAAGGAACCCCACAGCAGAATAGGGTAGCAGAACAAATGAACCGAACATTGATAGAGAGAGCCAGAAGCATACGTATACATTCGGGTCTACCCAAACAGTTTTGGGTAGAAACAGTCAATACAGCATCCTACCGAATAAATCATGGACCATCAGTGCCTTTGGAGCATCGAATACCATAAGAGGTATGGAGTGGCAAAGAGGTAAATCTTTCATAGTTAAAAGTTTTTGGTTGTATTACATATGCGCATATTAGTGACCATGCTAGGGGAAAGCTCGACCCCAAGCCACTAAAATGCATCTTCGTTGGGTATGGCGGAGATGAGTTTGGTTATCGACTCTAGGATAATCAGAACAAGAAAATCATCAGAAGTAGAGATGTTATTTTCAATGAGAAGGTGATGCACAAGGATAGAGATGCAGCACAATTAACTAGTCTTATATAGAGTAAGCGTAAGTTTGTTAAGTTGGATGATGATCTAGAGAGCATTGAAGTGGAGTAGACAGATAAGGGTTCTTGGCCAGAACTCACAGAGCATAGTTCACCACAGATTCCAACCCCTATGCCTGCACCTAAAAGGTCTACGCGACCTCATGTACCGAATAGGAAATATTTAGATTATATGTTGCTCACAGATGATGGTGAGCCTGAATGCTATGATAAAGCATGTCAGGTTGAAGATGCTAGCAAGTAGGAGTTTGTAATGGAAGATGAGATAAAGTCCCTTATCTCCAACAAAACATGGGAACTAGCCAAGTTGCCCATGGGGAAGAAAGCTCTTCACAACAAATGGGTGTACAGGGTGAAAGAGGAATATAATGGTTCCAAATGATACAAGGCAAGAATGATGGTCAAAGGCTTTAAGCAAAAGCAAGGCATTGACTACACAAACATTTTTTCCTCGGTTATGAAACTGAGTACCATTCACTCAATTTTTAGCATTGTTGTAGCAGAAGGGTTGCACCTTGAGGAGTTAGATGTCAGAATTGTTTTCCTCCATGGTGACCTAGAGGAGGAGATTTACATGCAACAACCGGAGAGTTTCTCAGTCAAAGGGAAAGAGAAACTAGTGTGCAAGTTAAAAAAAAAAAAAGCTTGTATGGTTTGAAGCTAACCCAAGGCAGTGGTACAAGAAGTTTGATGGTTTTATGAAGCGACATGGCTACAACAAGTGCAATACTGACCATTGCTGCTACTTCAAGAGGTTTAAGTCAAGTTTCATTATCCTTCTACTTTATGTTGATGACATGTCAGTGGCAGGTTCTGATTTTGAAGAAATCAACAAATTAAAGAAGCAATTATCTAGTGAATTCGAGATGAAGGATCTTGGTGCAGCAAAGCAGATTCTTGGGATGAGGATTAGCAGAGACAAACAGAAAGGTACTTTACAGCTGTCTTAGGCTGAGTACGTTGAACGGGTTCTGAAGAGGTTCAACATGAATAATGCTAAGGCGGTGAGTACTCATTTAGCTAATCACTTTCGATTACCTCAAGATCAGTGTTCGAAGATAGAAGATGAGAAAAACTTCATGGCTAAAATTCCATATGCCTCAGCTATTGGAAGTTTGATGTATGCCATAGTGTGCACAAGGCTAGACATTGCATATACAGTGGGAGCAGTAAACAGGTTCATGAAGGATCCGGGCAAGCTACAATGGGAAGCAGTAAAATGGATATTGAGATATCTACCGGGTATGACAGACAGATGCTTATGTTTCAAAAGGGGTGAAGTGAAGCTACATGGTTATGTAGATTTAGACTTTGCTAGTGAGGTGGACCACAGAAGAAGTACTACAGGATATATGTTCATGGTGAGTACAATTGCAGTTAGTTGGGTTTTGCAAATACAGAGGATTGTAGCGTTTTTCTACTATAGAGGCAGAGTATGTGGCGATGACAGAGGCCAGTAAAGAGATGATTTGGTTATAAGGTTTGTTGACAGAGTTGGGATTCGAATAGGTGAATAATTTTTTGTACAGTGATAGTCAGAGTACGATACATCTGGCAAAGAATTCAGCATTTCATTCAATGACCAAGCATATAGGACTTCGGTATCACTTTATCAGATCTTTGTTAGAAGATGGGGTGCTGACACTTACAAAAATACTTGGCACCAAGAATCCGGCCGATATGTTGACCAAGACAGTGACCATGGAGAAACTGAAGTTGTGCGTAACTTCAATCGGTCTTCTAGCTTGAAGACAGAAAGAAGCGCACCGATATGTATGAGACATGCATGAGAAGAAGATGAAATGGGTTTACAAGTGTTCCAGCCTCCAAGTGGGAAATTGTTGTGGTTTGTGGAGTCTGATTAATTTTTAGGAATGTTTAATTATATGGAAACTTCAACACTGCTGAATTTTAAGGAAAATTCAGTTTCTCGATCTGTTTTAACTTCCTTATTGGTTTAAGGAAAATTTAGTTTCCTAATCTGATTTAATTTCTTTATTGGTTTTGGATTCTACAAAAAGCAAGTTCTTGTAGGACAAGTTTGGGGACTCTATAAATATCAACTCTAATCAGATTTTAGAGTGTGTGAGAGTTAGAGATAAATTTGTGCTAATACAAAAGAGAGCAATTGAGAGAGATTAAGAGAGAATTCTCCATTGTAATTCTTCATCTTCTTCATAGTGAATTTGTTCGGTGTGCTCCATGGACGTAACCCTAAGATTTGGGTGAACCATGTATATCTTGTGTTCTTGTGTGTGATTTTTTTTTTATTCTTCGTGATTGCTTGTTTATTCCTTGAATAGTGTTGTTTATTTTGCATTTCAGCCACAACAACTGGTATCAAATTCGGTTGATTGTGCAGAGCAACTTTAACAAAACCTTTGGTAAATAATAACTAACCAACTCTTGGAACTCCATTAGTATATGCTGAATTTCAATTGTATACTCATCAAATTTTGAAGGCTGGTCCTCTTATACTTTCTTAACAACACACGCATACATAACTCCCATCTCCTTGTTCTCAAGTTCAAACTTGTGGGCTGTCAAAAACCCATTAACTTTGGTTGCCTTAAACTATCTCCAATGCAAAATGCCATTTTGGGCTGCCAAATCTATATTTTGAAAAGAACTACAGTGTCAAAATGCTATATTTTAGCAATTCTGCTCCAATGGTGCATTTCATCCAAAATGCTATTTTTTTACACAATCACCATTTTTTTTTTAACTACCATTCTCAACTACCATTCTTTTTCAACTACTATTTCCAACTACCAAACCAACAATTATCTATTCTTCACAAAAGTCCTTCATGGACTACAAGAAAATTTTAATGGGACATAAGATTAGATCTAGTTGAAAAGAAGACAGAAATCTTCACAGAATTTCTTTTTTATTATTAGTTTTTTCTACCACAAATCAATACTAATAATATTATTATTCAAAAACAGAAGCCGTACAATCAGAGTTAATTACAATTACAAATTTACAAGTCATGAAGGCCATTCATCAATATCAGAATCACAGGAGCCCATTGACTTGACTTATGTTCCACTGTATTGTGTGAGCTTTAGTAGTCCATTTAAGTTGGAAGTTTACACCAAGTTGTAGACAAAGTAGAGATACTTCTAACACCGGTGAGAAGAACAACATCAATATTCAATTTAAACCAACCATCAACAACTGGAGACCGGAGACCAACCATCAGTAGTTGGAGACTGGAGACCAACCATCTTCCAAATTGTCCTAACAACTGTGCAATCACACACTGAAAAAAAGATTCAATTTTTCTTTTTTAATTAAGAAAAAAGAAATGTCAGAAAATCAGATGGACAATTTAAGTTCAAGAATAAAACCCAATAATCTGTCCACATATAAAGAAAACAGGACATAATGTAAAATTGTGAATGCATAATGAGTGGATTGTTAATGACTTAAGTAATGGCAATAAGAGTAAGAGCAATACTGTATTTAATCAGTATAATTTAATCTTATTCAATTTAATACAGGCATTAAAAGAGGACACTAACCAATTCTTTGTTGTCATCCCCAGTTTTAAGATCCCCAGTTTTAAGATCTATGGCTATGTGCTTAGAATTGCCATGAACTAAAAATCAATCCCTTACTTTGGCTATGTGCTTAGAAAATTCCAATTTAATTAATCAGATTATTTTAAGGCAATTAACACCATCAGATTATTCCAAGGCAAGGCAATTAACATCTACAGTTTGAAAATTATTAAAGTAAGATGGACCTTTCCATTGTATTTGCCTAAATTAAATACTATCTTTTTATAAAGGAAACTAAATTCAGTTACCTTCCTTTCTTTTTCCACAAAAAATGCACAAATCTTTGACCTTTCTACAATGGAAAAGAAAATTAAATTTAGTTACCTTCCATTCTAACAAAACCAAAAGATAACCTAGCTGTTATTGTCCATGAAATCATATGAAAATCCTACACAACCAAGCCAAATTGGAAGTGCGAACAACCAAATCAAATAAACCTTCAAACCAACACAACCAAATCCAACAGGGCAAATTATCAACCCTCAACCAAAGCACAGAAAATTAGAAGTTTGAACAACCACATCCAGAACAACAAAAAGTTGTTCACTGAAAATTGATACTATGAGAACTCAGTTTTTGAAAGAACATTGTTAATGTGGATGGTGCCATTTGATTACTCTGCAGTTGTTAATCAAGCAATTATGGTTTCTCCACATTTTCTAGTATCTATAGATTGAAGAAAAGAACAAACAGTATAGCCTCACTGATTCAATTATGGTTTCTTTGCAGTTGTTAGTGAAGGCATTATGATTCTATGACCATTATGATTCGAATAAGAAAATTACTGGGTCTTTTTTGAGCTCATGTCCTCATTCAATGATTGAGGTTTGATAATATCACGTACTCAATTTGACAGATAAGGGTGGAAACTTATCATGAGAAAACCCTCGTTGTCGAATAAATTTCAGAAAAGAAGCATCCAAGTATTCTGACATGACAGGATCGCTCATGCCGGTTCATGTAGTGCATATAAATCAAAAGAATCAATTTTTTGTGTTTTTATTAGAACATACTGATGCATTTGGAGAGGTAGATTATGATCCTAGGCGGAATTGAGTTTTTCAAAATACGGATTTAGGGAGAGAAAGAAAAAGTGAAAGGGGGGAAGCATATCAGTTACCTCTTGATGATGAGCACTCACAACAGTTCCTCCCTTTATCAAGATCTTCGAATGAGATAACAGAACTCCACACTCAGAATCACCATATCCAGCTTTAGCTTCACATAATTGTCAACAAAATGAATCAAAAATCTTCACTATAGACCCAATTCCTTCATTTAATTGCAGAGAAAAAATTGGCAACAAAATTACCGATCTGAGAAGAGAGAGATATATATATATATATATATATAGATCTGAGAAAAGAGAATTTACCCGGTCGGTGTTCGTCACCTTTAAGTGCCGGTCGCCGTCGATAATTGCTGATTCGTTGCGGATGAGAGGGAGAGAGAGAGGACAGGGCAACGAAAGGGACAGATTGAATGCAACGAAGGGTAGAGGAGAGGCGGATAGGATTGAGGGAGAGAGAGATGAAATTGCGTCGCATAGAGAAATGAGAGAATTGCCAAAAAAAAAAAAAATTTGGCAGGTGTTACATTTGAGAGTAAATTTGAGAATGTCAAAATTTGAGAGCCCAAACGAGAGTACATTGGAGAGCTATTTTTTTATCACCTCTCATAATTTAAGTTTGAGAGCCCAAAATTAGAGAGCATTGGAATTGCTATTAGGAGTGTCAGGTGATTTCTTCTTTAAGTAGTTAAAAAGTCAACTTTTTTCCATCTTAATGAAATGAGTGTCGGTGATTTCTTATTTAGGATGATATTTGTATCCAAATTAAAATGATTTAGATTAGGGAATAGTTGTTTTGGCATTATATATTTTTTAATTAGTTGAATTTTGACTTTTTTAACGATTAATTAACGAATTGAGGTGTGAGGACAAAGTTAACCAAACATGAGTGAAGGTTTGAGCTTATTTTTTCACTAGTTTAATTTGTGAATAATAAAGACAAACATAAAGGGGTGTCGAAACATTTAACCCTTTAACTTTTCAATTATTATGTTCCATAATTTTAATTGCAAGACCTGGATTGATTAAAATGGGACACAAATAATTGAATGTCGTGTCGTATGAGATAGAAAACTCTCAAGTACGATTTTAAGGAAAAAAATTTGAACCGCCTATTCCGTTCAACAAGAACAAGCCATTCATCAAGTAAATTATGAAATTGCAAAGGTTTAGTTTGATCAATCCGTGAATAATGGAAACAAGCTACAACTTCGAAAAAAAAAAAAAAAAAAAAAAAAAAACCGTTTACTCATAATAAAAGCAATTATTGCTATAATTTTTTGTCGTAAGTGAATGATAAGATGCCAATATGGGTAAGAATCTTGCTATAATTTTTTGTCGTAAGTGAATGATACGATGCCAATATGGGTAAGAATCTTAGCACCAAGACACTATGGTTGTTTTCCATCACATGTTCATAAAAGATTCTCAATTGGACAATACGAGTCATGTCAATTATATTGTGAGCATCGTCGGTCGATTTTTTAAACTAACAAAATCACTGCTATTGGATTAATGAACTTGCAAGTAGACACACATCCAATTATTATGGTTTAGTAAGTTTTGAAAAGTAAGTCTAATAGCAAATGTCTCGATGGACAGGAAGTTAATAGTTTCAATAGAATTTGAAGTGTCAAATCTTGACTTTCTGTATATACTAATTTAATTTTTGTATCCCTCCTTGCTTTGTGTTAAAAAAATTAAAATAAAATAAAATGTAAGCCTAACCGAATTATTTAGATCAAATTTTGTTAACATTAAATCTGCCCCTTGAAAGTAGAATTATAAAAGACTACATTAAAGTTTCAATTGATAAGATGGCGAATTCCAATTTCATGACAAGAATTTCATCCGAAAAACTGCTTGTTTTAAAGCGCCCCCTGTTTTTGGACCCAACCTGTCCACTCCCTAGTATGAGTCCCACGGCTTGATTTTGTTATTCTTATTTGGAAGAAATGGAGCATCTTGGACATGTTTGTGGTTTATCCGTTTTAGAATAGATGTTTGCGGTAAAAATTATGAATTCCTTTTGAAAATTGTAAAGTGAGTCACAGTTTTTAAAGTAGATATTTAAAGTAATAATATTATACAATTTTAAAATAATTTTTTTTAAATTCTGAATTAGTTGTTGACATTGTCTTATTATATCACTTAAATTTGTTAAATCACTTAAATATGAATGCGGATAAAAAAATAAATTGGAGTTTTTAATACTTATCTCTTCACCTTTAAGTGAAATTTCCTTATTCCAACTAATATGTCATGATATTATTGAATCAATTCTCAGCATTAAAAAATAAAAAATAAAAAATAAAATCTATATTTTGTTATGTGAATTAAACTTATACCAAATCTACTAATATGATCCAAAAATATCTAAAACAAGTAAAGAGAACGTTCTTCCTATCTATCGCACAGGGTGCCTAGTGTTGGTCTTTTAAAAGTGAGAACAATACAACATTAATATTCTTAAGCCTGACAAACCAATCTCCTCCTTAAAGCTAATGCTATGTTAGCTAAGAAAGGGAGGAAGAGAAGAATAGATATCAGAGGCATTACTATTAAAGAGATTGTGTATTTTTTTTTTCTTTTTGTTCGGTTAAATAGATGAGAAGAGAATAAACTCATAATTTACTATGTTTTTTTATGTACGGTAGAAAGGAATGAAGAAGCGTGGAGAGAAAATATGAAGTAATGAATAAATTTCTTTTGTTGGGTATGAATGATACAAGGAATTAAAGGAAAATAGAACAAGTGGATTGTTATAGAAATTTTTAATTGAATACTATTCAAAATTATACAAGTTTTAAGTTACAATACTATCCTATACAAATTATAATATTATAAATATTATTAGATATAATGCTAAAAACAATTAAAACTTTCTCTTTCATTCTCTCCTATTAACGAATATATGAAATTTTAAGTTTTTTCTCCTCTTCTATTCAACAGAAAAAAAAAAAAAAAAAAAAAAAAAACAAACTTAAGAAATACACAATCTCTTCCTTAGGAATGTCTCATCCATCCTTTCTTCTCTCCCTTCCATCTAATTTTTTTTTCTTCCCTATCGAACTAAGTGTTGAAAACGAGGCATACAAAATTGAAATTTTTGATGAAATTTGGAGTAGATTTCGCTAAGAAGACGAACGCGTTCCTCTCCGCAAAGAGATGAACGTGGTATATTTATTTTTTCAAATCTGTTTTCGGATGAATGAGAAATTAGCTCCAAAGTGAGGTGTTTGATAAGCCTAAATAGGTATGCAAAAAGTGAGAAATGCTTGTCCCACGTGGAAAAAATGATAAAACCAATTGGAGTTTAAATAAGCCAAGTTTGGGAATTGGGTTTACCTAGGCAAACTTGGGTCCAAATTATCTAGCACACGTGTGTGCCCCGCTGGCCCGACCCGACCCGACCCGATCAGGGCTTGGGCTTGGTTGTAAGATGTGGTTAATTTTTTACTAAACAAAATTGGGCCTTTAATTTTTGCTGGCGGTCTTTTGGTTTGTATTTGAAAGGGTGTGACGATCTGAACCAATGCTTCAATTTGAATTTAATTCAGTTTTTGCTGCCTATATAAAACTCCCCTGGGATCATTAGTAAAGCACACCAATTCAGAATACATCTTCTCATTTCTAAATTCTCTTATTCCTCCTCTCTTTTTGTGGGTTCGAGCCTTAGTCTGTGGGTTCAAGTCTTAGTCAGTGAGTTCGAATTTGAGTCTGAGTTAGAGTCGGAGAGTACTACACCGAGTCGATTCGCCTATTTATCCGGTTTGCAGTACTACTACTAAAGGAAGACAAGTTGTTATATCCTAGGAGATAGACGCCACTGAATCCGTTAGCACCATAGCAGGGTGAATCTGTCTTAAAGATATACAATCAAATTCTAGCATCGACTTATAATCAGATTCCTTTATATTGTATAGTTTTTTTTATTATTATTTTTTATTATATAAAACTATATATTATAGATTATTGTTTTTATAATAATAATTATATATATATATATATATATATATTATATTTTTACAAAATATTTAAATACTAATACTATAGTATATGGTATATTTAAACCATATTTTTGGACAACACAAAGCATAAAACAAAAGGAAAGAAAAAGTTTTAATTGTTTTTACCATTATATCTAATAATATTTATAATATTATAATTTATAAAGAATAATATTGTAATTTATAACTTGTATAATTTAAGATAGTATTTAAATTAAAACTTCTATAAGAGTTCACCTTTCTTCAACCCATTTTTTGATGGATAAAAATTTATAAAGGAAGAAGGATGAATCCTCTTTTCTTTTCTTACATCATCTCCGCCGAACAAAGGAACACCAATTCCTTTGTTTCTACCAAACACAACATAAATGCTAATGTATCACCACCATATTATCACATGTCTTTGTATTTATTTTTTAATATTTAATTTTAAAGAAATAGTAATATCATTAAGAGTACTCTTTAATTACAAGGGTGATGAGCTTTACGTACTTAGTATGGAAATATGTATTAAATAATTTATTTAACTTTTTAAATATGTCAAAAAATTATTTGAATTGCCAAACGTAAAAAGGGTCAATCAACCTAACTTGCATAATGATTGTTGAAGTACTCTCTCTGTTCATAAAAAATAAATAAATAAGAAGAAGAAGAAGAAGCAAGTTTTATAAGAAAGTTCCCAAAAAAATTTCAGAAGGATTTATTATACTTGGCCTTTACCTTTACCTTTACCCTTACCTTGATCATTTATGTAAAATATAAGAAAGTGTGAAGCGTCATTTCCAATTAAAAGCATTCTGTCAGCCAAATTTTTACACTTTAAAAGCATTCTTTAATAAATAAATTGTGTGTGTGTTAGAATGATTATGTTGTTACTTTACGTGGCATCTAAATCATGTAGATTCGATAATATCATCTAAAATTTCTGAAGTGGATACAAAGCTTGTTGTTTACTTAATAATAGTATCTTCTAAGAGCTATTTACTGTGTTGTAGTATAAATTTTGCTTGATTTGGTAAAACTACTGGTCTTATTTAAAAGTAACCATACTAATATGCTAGCCAACACACCTCCTAAGAAAAATATCAAAGTCCAAACCGACTTCTCAGAAAAACCAGCGACTCTGCACTCAGATTTCATGCTGTCACAAGTTCCGAACACCACAGAATCTATCCACCGACCAAACAAACATAATTATTATACTATATATTTATTAAAAAATTCTCTCTGATCGATAGATATACATCTATATATATTACGTACAAACACACACCAAGTTATCCAATCTCTTTGTTTCCTCAAATATGTCCTCCATAGTCTCCAAAAACAACCAACCACTCTCAGAATCTGAGAACAGCAACAATATTAATATCTCAGAAGATCAAGAAGAGAGTGCTGAGCAGCCAATTTCAAGACATCTGTACTTGAAGCCCACTCATTCTACTGGAACCCTCGACAAGGAAGTCGTCCTCCGCCGGATTCGTCACCGCAAGCGCGTCAACAAGGTCCGGTCCGCCGTGCAAGCTCTTCTCATTTCGCCTTTCGCGGCCAAGTCACCTGAGATGAGATGGGTCGACGACGCTTTTGCTGCCCCTTAGCTGCTAGCTTCAGCTGCCGGCAAA